CGCAGGCAGCACGCCACTCCTCCCGCCTCACCCCGGCTGAACCTCCCCGGGTCGCGCAGATAATCATCGCAGTACAAGTTTAGTTACAAGCCCTCTGCTTGGAAGTGTAATTACCGCTATTATGCACTTCATAATGCCTGAGCAATTTCATTTTCTTCGCTCGGTTATTTATTGTACTTTACTAATCTAAGATTAGAGGCAATTTGTTCTAAGATGATGAGCTCCCAAAAAAGACACAATAGTTTGTTCAGAAAAGTGCAGGATGTGAGACCACGATGAGCACAGCCTGGCTCGCAGGCGTTAAAATAGACACGGAGGAGCACAACCCCAGCTCCATACTTGTACCTTCCCCAGAGAGCTGGCGATAAACACGCTCCCCTTAAAGCCAAGTAAACCACGAGAAACAGCAACCTACGTGCAGCCCCACGCCGGGGCAAACCCGCACGGGCAGCGCAGGCAGGGACACGGGACGGAGACGTACCCCTGAGCTCTGCGTCGCCAGGAGACTTACATGGGCGGTCGGGCGCAGGCAGCTCCCCTCCGGTCCTCGCGGAGTGTGACAGGTGCCCGGCACGAGACGGCTCCCAAATCCACCGGCTAGCCAAGGGAGCGAGCTGCCACCCCCTGCGCCGGGATGCTGCCCAAAGCCTCCCTGCTGCCCCACTGCTTTCCAAAAAAAGGGCTTAGGTGCCCAGGATGCTTTTGTTCTATTTCACAATCAAGACTTCTTGCCAGGAGAGAAGTGAATCTTCAAATAAATATGGCTCTTGAAAGACAAGAAGAAACCTCCACACCTCTCTGCAGCTCCAGTCCTTGCTCTCGTTCTGGCTGGGTGGGAAATGCCACTCTTGTCCCAGGAAATTTCTCGAGAAACTTTGCCCATCATGTAGCGGGATGCAAACAAGACCCTTCAGAGATCTTGGAGGGGGGAACACAATAAAACCTCAGAAATCTCTGCAATCTGCTGGCTGCCAACAGTCAGCTCTGCCAAGGCAGCGCAGTCCCAGGTGAGACCCCGCTTCATCCCCCTGCTCTGGCTCAGCCCAGAGGACAGCTCTGCATCCTCCTTGCAAAACCACATGGGTTAAACACACAACAACGCGGCTACGGCAAAGTCTGGAACTAAAGCAGTGCGCTGGTGGCCCCGGTGGGCTCACTGGGGACGTACTGTGGGCACCAGATGCAGCCCCGGGCAGAGGACGGTGAGGAGCAGCGTTGGACACACGGGTCTGCAGCATTTCCCCTCGCAGCATCCCGCAAGGATCGGCAGCGGGTACAGTGCAAAAGGCAGGGTGCTGCTACAGCGG